CGTCACTAGATCCTTCGTCGAATCTGCCGGCCGTGCCTTTCTCTAGCCCGCCCGCCTCCGCTCACTCTAGTCCGCTGTGTGTTTCATTGTGAAAGCAAAAGACAGTATAAGTCATTATAAAAAGACAGTATAAGTCATTATAATCCGTAATTATGTCCCCACTGGATGCAGCAAATGCCTCGTTTATAATGGGTTTTAATATTTTTGTCTCGTCGTTCCGGCCGGGACAGGGCATCACAGTATGGTAAGGGGCGTAACATTTCCGTCACACGCTTGAGGTATTCGGCCAATCACAACGCACTGGATAGCTGGCCAATCAGAGCACACCTCGCTTTTCAGACCGATGAGCTTTGTAAAAATAGACACGTTTCAGAAAAGTGGGGCACAGAGGAGAAACAATAATGTACAGTATGTGGAAAATAATGTGTTTTTTTAACCTTAAACCGCATAAACACATTTCATTACACCAAATACACAAAATAATGTTCTTTTTAGCAACATCATATGACCCCTTTAAGAACATTTAGATTCCACCAAATGGGAACGTAGCCCGTCAGCCCACCCAGCAGCCTGTCAATTAGGAACTTGATTCTTCTTCCTGGATGGCACATTATCAGCTGCTGAGTATTGTCATTCATTCAGAACTGCCTTCTGTTTGAAGTTTGGACAGACTGAAATAGTTAAAGGAGGTTAAAATATCAACAGCTTCATCAACAGTGTCTGCCATTAGCCAGGAGTAGCTCTCACTCATTACTTGTAAATGTGCTATTTGTGAGACATTACCTTATATGACACTTGATCATAGAAACATGAGTAACCACATAAAGTATGTTTATGTGTTATGATTAATGAATGCAAATAATTCCTAAGTATATTATAAAAACAAACATGCCAATACAGTACTTTAAAAAATATACATACATACATATTCATTTATTTTAGCAAAAATATAGTAAAATCAGTAAAATTGAGAAATTCCATTACACTTCAAAATAAACTGTGAAAAAAAAAAACTTAAAAACCGATTAAATATAATTGTTTTATGTCAAATGTAATTTATTTCTGTGATGGCAAAGCTGAATTTTCAGAATGCTTATTTGGTGGTGCTCAATAAAAATGTGCTATTATTATCAATGTTGAAAATAATAATACATACAATTATATATTTTTTTCAGGATTTTTTGTGGAATAGAAAGTTTAAAAACAGTAAAAAAAAATTATTCGAAATGGAAATTGTTTGTAATATTATAAAAGTCTTTACTGACACTTTTGTTTTATTTATTTTCTTGCTGAATAAATGTATTTCTTTCAAAATTGTCTTTAACAGGACATGAGGGTGTCAAGAGGGTTGGGTGTGAGGTGGCATATTCATAGTGGGAGTGTGGGTTTTGCAGGCCTGACAAGAGAGAGCAGGTGTCTCAGGACGAGCTGACCTCGCAGCTTTGACCCAGGGGGCCTATCAATCTAGATCTAATAGCAGGGAGGGGGCAAGGAGGGGTATGAGTACAGGGGTAATTAGGGGGCCCCCCCCCCCCACACACACACAATGCATACATTAATGGACTACATGTCATTTTGAATTTATAAACGTTCATCATCTGTGTCCTCGAGCAGCAAAACAAAGTACTTGATAAGACGCTAAATTAATTACTTTACTTATTAATTATTATTAATACTTATTAATTTAACATTTTTGCCAAAAAAAAGTGTTGAGGCATATATGAACATAAAAAAATTTGCTTCTGGTTTGAAGACCACTGTACTTGGAAAAAAAAAAAAATCAGATCCACTCTGTTCACAATGGCTTATTACAGCAAACCTTTTCTTTAGAAGAAGTGATGACCTGTGAAATATGAGCCGGTGTATGAAGTTTGAGATGGTTGTGGTTTCTCACTGTCTCCCATTCACATACCACAAATTCTGTGTAACCAATACTGTTTGACCTTGGCAATTCCCACGAAAATATTTCTCAAATGATACAGGATCTAAGTTGGTCTCAACAAATTGGGGAAAGATATTTTTCGGAAATTATGCAAACAATGACACAATGTACCGAAGCTGGAGGAAATCCCATCAGTGCTGACTGAGCGATGTCATGTAACTACGTGACATACAGTACCTCCGAGTGATCCTGTTTGTGCGTCAACAGAGGGTTATTGAGGTAAAATATCATGTGAGATTAGATGCTAATGGCTGCGGCCTTTGAGAAACAGAACTTTGTGTCTTATGTCTGTTGGTTGAGCCTCTATTTCAGGCTCTTTCTATATTAACTGTAGTCCACCATGGGGTCCATGTTCACATACTAAAAGAGAACAACAAAGCAGCTGGTGGGTGACCTTCCACTCTCTCCAGTGAGCTCAGAGGAGGAGAGAGACGACATAGGCTGGCGCAACTCTCATGGTGCTCAAATACAAACCTCTCCCAGCCAACAGCAGCTGCTTTGCACTATTTTGGTCTTAGGATCACCGCAGAAATCCTCCAGACAAGGAACAGTTTTCACACTCAAGGGGGAAGGACTGCTCTAAAATAAAACATACCTGTAAGCCTAGACAGACGGCATGGAAGTAATGGGAGCCCCCTGTCTGATCTCTTCTCTGTCTAATAATGTTCTGCATTAAACTGTGTAATCATTTCAAAACTATTCTTTGTCTAATAAGAGGTTATTTGACATTATTTGCACTTGGTGTTGGTCAATGAAATAGGAAAAAAACCATGTCAGGACATACTGCAAGACTTTGCAAAGTCACCTTTTTAATTATAATTTATATCAATAAGTTCCAAAAAAAATAATATATATCTATATATACGTTTCAATATCATTAAGGTGTGTGGGACAGTTCATATCAAAACATTCATCAACATCTTTCCATGTTCAACCTTTAAAATGAAAACAATACATTCAAACAAATTAAAAAATGTGAAGATTACAATGACAGATTAAAGCCATTTTAAATGCCGTATTTAACCCTTCCATACTGTTGCAGGTCATTTTTACCCTTTTTTTTTTGCTTTAATACAAGATTTACTGCAACTTTTTAGCTTAAAACTTCTTGACAGCTTTGATAGGGAAACAGCATGAAAGAGTTAAATCAAATACTGTTTTACATTAAAACATCTTAAATACTAACTGTTTTTTTTTTTGTTAGAAAAATTCAGTGCCAATTGTAACATTTCTTGGTATAGAGATGCTTCGAAACAAAATGACAAAAAATTTCATGAGGAACTTTTAATTATATCTAATATGGTCAGGATGGAATATAAACAGAAACAGAAAACAAAACAGAAAAACAGCCATTTACATAGCCAACAAGAGTAAATCAAAGAAGTTTCCCCCACCACCAAAAAAACAAAAAAAATGTCTTTAAAAATAAGTCTGTTCTACATCTGAAGATTAATCTCTCTTGTCAAATGACAAGCCATCATCCATTCTGATGCTCTTCTCTTCCCCTCCTCCTTCCCTTTCACATACTCTCGCAGTCTGACAAAACCTCTGTAAAAACAGTCACCCTGTTACTGACGAAATTCATGCTTCACACGACACATACAGCCCCACATCCATAGCCGAGCAAATACACCATGCAAGCAGGATGTTCGAAACAATCAGCAAAAGATGCGGTGCTGTAATTTTAGTCAAGGCCATTTAGTGTCCAACTGTTGACTAAATATATTCTGACTGTATATAAAATAGATCTATTTATATGTATACACTTGTCATTTAAATACTGGTGCAAATGCACCATGCGCACAATAATTGCAACCACACCTCATGCACCACCAGACCAAAATATTGGAGAATAACAGCAGATTTCCACAAAATTCCTAATTAAGACAGCATTTCAAAAAATCACATTTTCTGAGGTAAACTACAACACTGTTACAAATTCTTTAAAGGCAACCATCTCTACATTTCGCATTTATAACCAGTGGGTCAACCTGAATGTATTCAACACAATTTAGCAGGCATAATATTGAGGCAGGTACCGCTCTGCACATCAAGTTCAGGGGTAGTGCGAGAGGTTTGGGGGGTGGGGGGGGCGTTAGAGGGCACAGTCTCAGGCCATGAAGATTAAAGGTGCAAATTGTCACAATTAGTCATTTCTCAAAAAATAAAAGCCATGCATTATAGCCTACAGTAAGTAGTACAATGTCAAACATACTGCCTATCTTTTAAAAGAAAACACATACACAATTTTACAATAATACCTTAAATAAATATATATAAATATTTTTTTTTAATCAAACCACACACTATACTCTATTATTTTTTTCTTCTAAAAAAAAGCCATCTTAAAAATAAATAATATTAGATTTATTTTTTCTCCATAGGACATGTTAAATCTTACAGTTAAAATTGTAGCGTGCTTTAATTTTTATGTTTGGTTTTACAAGGGACTAGAGATATTTTCGTCATCCTTAGCTACAGGTGCAGAAATAAAGAACACAACAGAAAGAAAAAAAAAAAGTCAAGACAAAGTCATTAAACCAGTACCATGCACAGGCATGTCATGGATGGATGAATCTCCTAAAACAGGAGCAAGAGATGTTAGACAAGGCTGTAGAGATGGGTAATGGAATAAGACTGGCAAGTGACCCTTTCAAAATGTGCATGGTGTTTCGAACCAAGCAGAAAGCGGACACTGGTACACACTCCTGCTGCCCAAACACATTGGCAACCCACTGCACATCTCCCCTTTAAAACGTCAGTTGGTAAAATAGTAAGGCAGCTGTTCACTTCCGTCAACTAAAAGTGCATCTCCGAACATATCCAGTTAAGTCCCCCCATTCACTTGACTGGGTACGGCTTGGATCAGCAGATTCTTTATCTTTCCCAACGACTGCTTGCTTCAGCTTTCAGAGCCCAAGCGAGTCACAAATCATCGCCAGAGGAACTGGGCTGGCTCAGGCCGAATGGTCCGGGTTTCGTCTTTCTCCCATGATTTGCTCTAATTCCAGTCATCCAGTCCTTTGCCTGTGTCTGAGTCTGACTTGTGCCATTTTGTTTTAAAGGCCATTGACGCAACTGCGGAGAATTAGGGGCTGTGCCGCTAGTTTTCATGAGCTCACTGAAGGGTCGAAACAGTTAGAGGGTAAGTAATTATGTTGAATAACATTCAGGCACAGCTGCAATTACATGGCAAAAGTAAGGCAGACTACATTAGTTGGAGACTGACATGGGCAAAGATCAGGGCCTATGGCAACCTGCAAAATCCTCCATCTGAGTGCAAGAGTCTTACCTGAGTTTAATGTTCCGTCAAGTGAGGAAATGGACAAAAATAATTGCCAGTCCAATATTTATCAGCATCACTAGTATGACCAATATTGAGTTGGGACCCTGAAGAACCAGTGAAAGAGACAAAGCTGGAGATTAGCAATTGGATGCCGTGACAATCAAAATGACACAGCTCTCAGAATGCAACTGAAAATACTAGGCACGCACCAATATTAAAATTTGAATTTTAATACCGAAATGCCGATAATTATTTTCAAGTTATGGCCAATACTAAAATTCTATAATGTTGTGTTTAAATATAAAAAAATAAATACATTTTAAAGTAGATACTAAAAATTAAAAACCACCATTTATATAAGCAAGTTTATTTTCCAGTATTAGAAATTTTCAAATTTATTAGTATCAACCAATATTGGATATTTAATTATGATAATTTCACAAATTTACTATTTAAATTACATTTGCCGTCATGTAACAATCACTCAAATGAATAAATAAAAAACACTAATAATTTAAAACACTGTTAAATGTATACTTCAGAAATCTCAAAATACGGTATGTTGTGATGTCTAAAATCAAGTGTAGCATTTAAAATGATTGCTTTTATTTTAGTTTTATAGTAAAGAAACTGCGTTCAGATGGAGCGGATTTACTACACAGAGCCATAGTTCACTGACAAGCTACACAAAATCGCGTTCATAATTGGCAATGAATCACTTGCGATTTTGAACGTGATTTTGCGTAGCTTATCAGTGAACTACGGCTCTGTGTAGTAAATGCCGCTCCATCTGAATGCACGTGCTGGAGATTTACTACTAATCACAGGAGCGCCTTTACTGATGAGATGCACATGAAAATCACATTCGATTTTTTGCACAGACCTAATAATGCATCTGTGAAAAATAGCATTTTTAATATATTGTAAAAACACAGTCGTATTACATATTATATTGATAGTGATAAACAGCCAAAAATAGTAATTTTAATGATATATGTCATGCATGTTGCAGCTACTTACTGACTCCTCCTCAACAATGTCAGTAGTCATTTCCATGCTGGCTTTCTTAGTTTCTGCTAGGCTCTTTGGCTTCAATGATTCCTGTTTCTTCAGTTTGGGTTCGGGTTTGCTCTCTTTGGCCATTACTGGTTTGGGGGTCGGTGCACGGTGCTGCTTTGCAGGTGGGGGCATCCGGGTATGAGCAGCTGACATTCCATGGTGTTCTTCGTCCTCCGGATCATCAGGGTGCATCATCACCTCCGCCTTCACATAGTATCCGTGATACTGGGTGTGCAGCTCACCGTTCCCAGGGCTGGAGGCATTGGCGACCAGCACCGGCGGCTTGGAGGGTTTGGCTACGGGTACTACCTCCTGTTTTACTTCCTGTTTGTCTGATATCCTGGAAGTAGCCTTGGTGACACCTGCTGCCAGGCTTTCGGCAGCAGGGGGCTTGTTTTCTTTAATGGCTTTTGGGGCGATTTCTCTTTCTTTTCTTCTGGTACTTCTTTAATCTCGATGGGCTCAGTGGAAAACCTCTGCTTGGTATAGTCAGGGCCTTAAAAAGGTATAAAAAAAAGTCCGAATTAACTTTATATTTTATTTTATAATATTTTATATTAATATTAAATATTGTAAAATATCTTGACATTTTATATTTTTAACATTTTATATAAATATAAAATTTTATATTTTTATTACATTTTATACAGTCTGATTCTTAAAAAAGTAAAAAAGATCAAATGATTACTGTCTGACAAAAAGACCTTGATACATCTAAATGTGGCTCAAACACGTAATACTCAGAAACAAAACATCTCAAGAGCGCTGCTTGTGAATATCAAGCTCAGAATAAACTGACAGCACAACAGATGCAATTTCACGTTTTCAGTCTCAGTCTGTTAAGTGTTTATGCAGGGACGGACATTAAGAATTTAGCCACTTGCTTTATGATTCAAGTCTGAGTTCCAATCATTCTCCAGATTCTCCAGACCACAGATATCGCCACAGTGGCCTCACAGCTGATACAGATGGGCTTTCTAGAACTTGCACTGGACCTTGTCCAGGCCCAAACTGCAAATAAATCACACTGTTTATCAGCCTTTTTACAAAGCTAAAGTGAGGAACAGCTCATCTGCAGAGAGTCTTGACAACAAGCACTCTTGTATTTTTTTTTTTAGTTCCATTTCTAATAATACTATTTTGAATATTCCATAAACCTTTCATATTATTTTTTATTATATTGTAATATTTTATTATAGAATTCCTTCTTACACATTCTCATAATATTAATAAATTTATTATACTTTTTATATTTATTTTTTGCTTCTGGGGTACGATACTTAATAAATTGTCTATACAGTGTGTTTTTCCTTTTTGCAGGCATTTAATAAACCTTTAGTAATCCATGGACTATTTATTTGCTTTTGTTTATTATTATTATTATTATTATTATTATTATTATATTGTTTTACAGGACAGTTTTTGTCATACAGTGATGTAAAAATCTTTAGGATTCCATTATATGCTTTATCAATTTCATCTTCATTAAAAAAAATATATATTGTAAACTAAAATGAGTGTGTCTCAATAGTATAAACACTGGTTATTTTTATTCCAATTCCCAAGATGTGATTTATGCAACACGATTTGGTAAGGCTATTTTGAATACAATGGAATAAAACCTTACTGTCACGGTCACGGTGTGTGGAGGCAGGCAGGATGACGAGGACGACAAGGATTCCAATAATTACTTTTAATGTAGACACAACAAGGCAGATTCAGGAAGGTGAGACACACACACTCGGGGTAACATTCACAATAACCAACCCCCAAAGCTGAGACAGACAGGAACTAATATAGGGTGGGCAGGAGCCCTTCCTGGGCTAAACTGGGGATCAGGAGCCCTTCCCGGGATGAATTGGGGAACAGGAGCCCTTCCTGGGCTGAATTGGGGAACAGGAGCCCTTCCTGGGCTAAACGAGGAATCAGGAGCCCTCCCTGGGCTAAACAGGGAATCAGGAGCCCTCCCTGGGCTTAACTGGGGGTCAGGAGCCCTCCCTGGGACAACAAAGCACTTTCGAGGAGCTGGCACGGGAGCGAGCTCTGGAGTTGGAGCCGACACTGGAGCGAGCTCTGGGGCTGGAGCCGACACTGGAGCGAGCTCCGGGGCTGGAGCCA